ATAGTTTATTAAAATAATTTATGATCCAACTAACGAATAAGAAAGTGTGTAACATAGTTGCAATCCGAACATGGGCCTGGCCCATTCCCGGAATGGGCTGATTTCTGATTTGGGCCAGAACATATCTTCCTCTTCCTGATCTTCCTGATCTTTTTCACTTATACCTAAGTTGGTATTTTTTGCCAATGATTCGTCCTGTAATAAAAATTTTCATAATCGTTTAATATTTATGGCAAGCCCTTTAGTTATTTCTGAAGAGTAATAACCTTACCTTGTTTAGTGACAGCGTGTTTATTTCTTGATGAAGATTAAGATTGGTACTACGTATATTACGACGAACAAGAATCTACGTAATGCAGAATTTTACCAATGCTAGGTCAACTATCTAAAAAACTAGAAACCAAACATACCGCTGTTTTCTGTTGCATCCAGGATTCCCAGTCTTCCATCATCTTTTTTTCCTATCCAAAAGAAGTTTAGTATTATATTTTACAATATAACACAAAAAATAATATTAAGTAACTACTTACATTCACCATTTTTTTCATTTTTTTGAGCTTATCCAGGATTTCCCGGTTATCAGTTTCACCCAAAGCCGAATTAACCGTTGTATGGTATTTTTCAGAAGCTTTAATTCGATGCGTTGGAAATATATATATTGAAAAAACGCAAGCGGAGTTGGATTGGGACAAGTTAACATCCACTTAACGTTACGTTCTTGTAAGGTTATGTTAACATTTCCTTTTCCCATGGTAAGCTTACAAAATAGAAAAAATTAATATCTTGCTGAACGAAGTAAATGCAGTAAACAGTAAAAATTAGTTGCTCTTCAAAATAAGGCCGGCCACCCCTACACGATGACTTGCCATTACTGGCTTCCGACAGTCTCCCTCTGTCGCAGACGCTTTATGTTGATTAACAACTTAATAACTTCTGAACAATTAGATTAACCGGCCATCCCTACACGATGACTTGCCATTACTGGCTTCCGACAGTCTTCCTCTGTCGCAGACGCAGCTAACAGAGGCTATTTTTCTGTTGCAGGCACTAACTAAGCGAAAACTTCAACCCACCTAATTGATTGTTGTTCGAAAGACGAGATAAAGATTTATTGATTTATTTCAGGATAAATTGTCACGATCGACTAATGATTCGTGACCACAGCGGCCCCCCCCCCCAAATTTCCTCGAAAATCCTGCGATGTGATTGGCCCTGATTTCTTCGAAAAAATTGATTGGCTCGCTACAAA